GACGTTTGTGTTATCAGCTACATTTACAAATGTAAAATTAGAAAAATTCCAACTCTCAGGCTGGACTCTGTTCTAATAAAAGAAATGTTCTTTAATAATATTTTAGGGCATCCTTTCATTTTTGAAGCAGGATAGATTTTGCTTGTTAGATATTTGCAAAAGATATTATTTTGACCTGGAAATTTAAATATAAAGCAAGGAAAGTCATCCTAAGACATACAGTGGACTGACACAGAAAAGATTTTTTTTAGAAACTTGTGGTGGAGTCAGGATAATTCGCTATTTTCCAACTTACTTGTGCGTATCCTGTTTCTAGTACTTGTGATGACACCAATGACAGGAGATTAAACTCACCTAGAAAAACAAGGTCTTTTACTTCAAAACCCAAGAGAACGAACCCACTTGCAGCCCTTCCTCTCCTTGTTAGAGCTGAGCCCCCCTCGCCAGGGGTGAGACGCCGGCACATCTGGACTCAGACGCAGCCGCCGAGCGGACAGACCGGGCACCCTCCACGCGAGCAGCGGCTGCACGCGCTGACACCACACCAACCACCACTTGCTCGCGGGCGCCGCGGCAGCCAGGATGTGCACTTGGCGGCTCTGTTTACGGGAGGTCCCCGTGGCCCGAATGCTGCCTCTGGGTTGGTTCCAAAGGCCTCCAAGTACACAAGGAGACCTGCTGGGTTTTGTGAAATAAACCATCAAAAGAGAATTTGCTGAAAATTCTGCAGGAGTCTCTGCCCTCACGTCGGGGAAGGAAGAGTGGGCTGGCAGAATACTAAACTTGCTGCTCCGAGATGATCAAAGCCTCAAGGCGATGGAACTAGCATTCAAAGGGACTCAGAGAGAAAAAGGAGGAGGATGTCTTCTAATCATCTAACGACTTATTTTTGGCACAGTTTTTACCCAATCACCTTCCATAGAAATAGGACACCTACCTGAAAAAAATGCACAAAGTGTACTGGTACCAAATACCACAATCTTTCACGCCTTTAATTATCCTGTGTGTGTGTGCACGTGTGTGTAAATACATACATACACACGTGTACATATTTATGACATGCTATGCCAATTTGAAAAAAAGAAAAGTAAACACAATTGGCTTTTTAGATAATGAAGTACAGATTTAACCCAAATATTTTTTTTTTTTTTTGAGACAGAGTCTCACTCTTTTGCCTGGGCTAGAGTGAGTGCCATGGCGTCAGCCTAGCTCACAGCAACCTCACACTCCTGGGCTCAAGCAATCCTCCTGCCTCAGCCTCCCGAGTAGCTGGGACTACAGGCATGTGCCACCATGCCCGGCTAATTTTTTCTATATATTTTTAGTTGTCCGATTAATTTCTTTTGTATTTTTAGTAGAGACGGGGTCTCGCTCTTGCTCAGGCTGGTTTCGAACTCCTGAGCTCAAACAATCCACCCGCCTCGGCCTCCCAGAGTGCTAGGATTACAGGCGTGAGCCACTGAGCCTGGCCTTAATCCAAATATTAATATATTGTTTTATGTATTTAGGAGAAAACAAAATACACTAAAACAGTGGAGAAAAGTGTGGTGGCAGTATTCTGTTAAACAAATGATCTTTAAAAATATACTTCAATTATTCTGGAAGTTAATATACCCAATTTTTTCTAGTTGGAGCAAATTAAACTTTGCTGGATTATCTGATGGGACTGATATCTTGGTAAGTGTCAGAAGTATAAGCGTCTGTTAAAAAAGATTTGCTTCCCAACAGGTGAGGCAAACAATAGCTCACACACACACCACACACCCCCTCTAAAACCCTGACTGTCTATGAAATACTTCTCTTTGAGGAAGAAAAGGTAAAAATGTTTAAAGATGTTTGCATTAGAATTTAATAATTTGCACTACTCACTGCTTTGGAACCATTTTAAGAAAAGCCTCTGACTATTCAGGAACACTCATGACTCGAGGCCGTTACCATGAACTACAACACACGGGGCGCTGCACACCTGCGGGGGAGGGGCACTGCCGGGGTGACAGACAGACGCTCTATCAAGGGCCAACAACACGAGGGGCCTCCTGGTCCCTGCTAGAAGCATCTTGCAAGGATACTAACGCTGGTGCTATTCAACTGGGGACACAGGGGTTCATCGTCTGCCCACCCCCCAAGGGAAGAAGGAACCACAACCTGAACCCCCATGTCTCCCCCATAGTACCATCCCTGAGCTGCCCTCTTCTCCCCGGCGTCAGGATGCCTCTGCACCTTGCCTTTCTTTCCCTGGTGAGAACATTTAGTTCTTTTGTTTAAAGGGCAACTTCATATTCTGATATTAATAAAACTTATTATAATGCCACCTACCATTCTATCACTCCTGCGTTACTTACTTCTAACCTAACTTACACAATAATCTTTTTCTTTTTCAGAAGCTTTAAGAAAATGAATTGAGTATTTCTATCATACACCCATGAAATAAAGCGTAATATCAAATTGTTCAATTTTCCTTGTAATCCAACGAGAATTATGATTCACAGCCTCACTTTTATTACAGAATTAGCAAAGTACAGAAGATCAATGATTTAAAAATAAATACACTGATGCAACAAGATACTTTTCCTGAAATTAACTGCTTTATGTTTGCAGCTTAAAAAAAAAAAACAACCTTTTCAGACAGATTTTTAAGCTTGAAGGGGGACTCACTGCAGCTATAGAAAACCCAAATGAGACTCGGATACATTAGTGAATTAATACCTGCTTCATTCACCAGTGTAAATACCCTCTACTTGTAACTGTAATTGTCTGAGTCCTTAACACATTACTCAGCTAAATTTAAAGCTACAAATCAGGTGATCCCCATCCTTATTTGCTGAGTCCTGCTCTGCTAAACAACAAACCAAAACAACACGACAGCTTAGCACTAGGACTTTCTCTCCAGCAAACAACCCACTTTGATGGGGCAAACCCCACACTTCATCAAATAGTTCCCCAAAGGGCATTTTGTAGTGGTTTCAAAGCTAAGTCCAACAAAACGTCTGTATGATCATTTCATTTCCAAATTTTCCTAGATCATATTTTTAAGAGAAAAAATGTTTTTTTCCTTTTTATTAATCTGGATGGAAGAAAAGCATACATTTCATTTATTGTCCGGATTACAGATTCTTATTAAACAAACCAGAGCTCATTATAAAATCAATATCAACTTAACCACCATGCCCTCAGGAGGAACAGCAAAAAGGTCACTCCAAGAAATTCAAACAATTTTCCTGCTGGAAGGGCGTGATTTTAATTACAGATACTATTAATTAGAGCTGTCACTGGGAAGACTTTTTTTCTGTTAATTATCACAAACTGGGTTCTAAGTATGCATTTTCAACCTGCATTTTTAAAATTAATCATTTCTGCATGCAAGTCCAACCTTTCCCTTCTATCAATATTTTATATTTGAATTTCAAAGTGTATCAAAGGATGCCGCGCTTTCTAAAAACCCAGGCCTGTATGATCTTTCCTCGCTACGCACGGAACAGAACTGGTGTGATAATTTATTTATGTCCTGACACAGGCCTGGCCCCGAAGACCTGGCGTCCTACACTGAGGGTCCTGCGCAATAGAATTTCCGGATAAATTCTTACTAGTTTATGTGACATTTTTTCAGACTGCTTCTTCAAAAGTGATTTTTCTTTTGCTTTGAAGCACAGGAACGCACAGTGCCTGAAATGCCATCTTCAACACATCTGAGCTGCCATTTCTTCATAAGAGAGCGACGCCTGGCCCGGCAGGTGACCCCTTCCAGAAAACTGGAGATTTCCTCCCTTCACTGACAAAACTAAGAATTTTTAAGTGGGAGGAAAAGCTATCCCTTGGCCTCTTTCAAGCATGGAGATTTTACAAATTCTTCCCAACTCCTCATGTGGGCAGGGGCAGGGCTGTCCCCAGAGCAAGAAGAGCCAGCTCAGGGGAGCTCACGGGGCACCCTGCCAGGCACTGCTGGACAGTTGGAGGGTATTTTCTGGAAAGAGCTTGGGAAGCTGCCCATTTGACTGATGACAGAATATTTACTTTATATATGTCTGTAAAATATGATTAATTATTTATAAGACATATTACCCATCATAATCATGTGACTAGGAAAAAACAAAGGATCTAGGATTTCCCAATTGGGGAAAATCTTATAAATACACATTGATTAAACTTTTAAAGTAGTTTTTAAGTAAATTATTTTACTTTCACAAATGGGAATATATACTTGGAATTACGTGATATTTTATTTTAAAAGAAATCAAATGCTCTGACTTGCACATTTTCTGGGTTTGCACTGCTGTTAAAACTGAAGGCATATTTTTATTATAGGACATTATTACACATGACATGTATGCTGCAGAACTTCCAAAAATTCTGTGAATGTTTTATTCCCAATTCAGTCTGAACTTGCCTCCTTCACATTCTCATTGGTTTCTGATTCATTTCCAGGTGTGCCTGTGGCATTTCCGTGGCACCAGCACACAGCAGCCACTGCTGTCCTGGAGCTGAGGGGGGTTTCTCCCTCCCCCCGGCCCTCACCCATCCATCAGCATTAGATTTCACTTTATCCAAATAATCGCAGAGGCCGGCACCGGATCAGGTCAAAGGATCTTTTCATATAAGACCCTGAGGAAGTCGATGATTTCAGAGACATCATCAAACATCTGCACACCAATCTATCTTGCAACTTCAGCATTTTTCATTAACAGTGGCCAAAGTAAGAAAGGTTACAGATAATACATAATTCGTGTATTGTGCTTTTTCCACATTCCTAATTAGCAACCTGCTTTCGTAGCTAACGTGAGACTATCCAAGAACAGCAAAAAATTAATCCAGAACTGTAAAACTGTGATTGCAAAGGTATCTACATGAATGCTAATGAGAAGTTTCAAACTGTCATCGTTAAAGAACCCAAAGTCTGCATAAATGAACAACTGCTGGGAACGGGGGAGGGGCCGGAGAGGAGGGAAATGATCCGCCTGTTCAACTGATAAATCCCACCATCACTGGGAAACGTGTCTCTTTACCTGGTAGGCGGCGGTGGCATCGGTGCCCGGGTGGCCCCCCAATCCCGACAGCTTCTCCTTCAGCTTGTGGTGAGAGGCGTGTCGCAGGCAGTAGGTGAGGCCGGAGGCCAGGAGGACGCCCACGATGCAGGCCACGGACACCAAGGTGAGCACCACGAACTTGGTCGAGTCCTCCCGTTCCGCCTGGTGAGGCAGAAGCTTGACCTCGCTCCTCTGCGGAACAAGGGGAGGGGCGCGTTAGTTCTCGGCAACCCAGACCTCCAAAAACCCGTCCTCCTCAACCGCGGCTGACATTGGAAGCCCGACAGACAGGATGGGTGCTGGCACCAAAGCAGCACCAGGAGGGCTACACAGAACAGCACCCCCCCAAGGAGGAGCAGAAGCTATTTCAAAATAGCACACCACAGATTGCAGCGTTTCAGGAGGAAAGTTAGAGGCATCACTTGCCTTCTCTCAGTGGTGACTGTTTTTTTCAAATTTATGTGCAGTATCTGACAGCCTGCTTGCTGCCTTAAGTAGAACCAGGTGTCCATCCCTTCTCTTAAACAGGTACAGCAAGTTACCCAGAGTGCGCACAACCGGCGTGGGGCGGAGGGCGCGGGTGGAGGCTGGCGGCAGGTGGCTGCCGAGGGCCGCGTCTGCGCAGCGCGGCGCGGGGCACAGGGACACCCCGACACTCGGCGGGCCTGGCCGCCTGCAGAGGCGCTGACCGGCAGAGCCCCCAGCTCCGCGCGCTCTCCGCGCCACGGTCGCCAGGCGCAGACCCCGACGCCGTGCACCCGAGTGTTTTTCCCAGAAAGGAACGACAAACAGCAAGGCGCTGGGCACAGGGCGGCCCAGCAGCTTCACTTCTCAGCGGCGATGAAAGCAAGGATCCCCGACTCCCTTAGACTGTCCTTGTTTCCTGGGAGTGGGGAGGGGTCACGACGCTAAAAATTTGAGACAATCCTTTCGGTGCCTGTCACTCTCCACGGGCACGGAGGTGCGCGCGCTCTCCCCTCATTAGCTTCATTAGAAGGCACATTAGCGACAATTAAGCCGCGGCGGGAGAACGCGCGGGCCGGGCGGACCCGTGCGCTCCTGCGCGTCCTGCTCGCGGCGAGCCCAGAACAATTAGCAAAGTCCTTCCACCACCTGATTTCGCGTGGTAACAAAGCGGATTTCTCCCCATGAATGCCGGCCGGCCTGTTCATTATCTCTTTTCTATTAGTGATTTTCTGCTCCGCATTCAGCCTCCCCAGTCCTCATTTCCTCCTGCCTCCGAGTGCACACAGGGCCTCTGCGTCGCCGGGCCCATTTTTATCTTGTAATCATAGCGGCCACCAAAGCAATTATCGCCGGTCTTGACTGGAAAAGCTGGTCATTAATTAGCCTCCTTTTGCCTTCGGTGCAGCGGATTAGCCGGCGCTGGGGCTGAGTTAATGGAAACGCGGGTTAAATGAGAAAAGACGCCCGGATTTTCCCGCCCGGATGCGCTGCTCGGAGGGCTCCGCTGGAGAGCGGCGGGAGGTGCACGAGCGGAGGGAGGGAGTCGGCGAGAGGGGAGGAGACGGCGGGGAGGGGCTGGGAGGGGCGGGCGACGAGGAGGGGGAGGGGGCGAGCGCAGGGCCCGAGGCCCGCGGGCCGGGTGCGCAGAGGTGCCCTCCGCGCGCGGGGAGACCCCCGTCCGCCCCTCCAGCCCCCCCCCGCCTCTCCTTGCGGGGCCCGCAGTCTCTCCCCGAAAGAAGCCACTCCAGGGAACGCCCGAACCACCCCCGGCAGCCCGGCCCCTCCGCACCCTCTGCCCGCCCCGCGCGGGGCGCGAGCCAAAACCACATAAATAAAACGGCGGGACCCAGCGCGGCGCCGCGCGACCGGGCCGGGCGGGAGGGGAGCGCGGTCTCCCCGGCCGGGTTCTCCTGGGCCCCGCGCGCGGTCGGTCGTTCGCGCCGGTCGAGCGGCGCCGGGTACAGGTACCCAGAGCCTCGGAGCCCTGCTGGGCCTGTGCGCGCGTGCGGGGGCCGGGAGAAGCCGGCCAGACCCGGGCTAGGGACGCCCCCCGAGAGCGCCAGCATGGGGGCCCACCCGCACCCGGGACAGAGGCCCGAATGACACCTAGGTTGGAGGGCGTGTCCGAGCGAACGGCTCTGCGGCCCCTCTCGCCGGGTCCCCCTAACCGAGGGGAGCCCCCGTCGCCGCCCGTGCCTCCTGCAGGACCCGCCTCGCCTGGGCCGGTGGAGCAAGGACAACAACAAAGGAAGCGGCGCGACGCCCGGAGGGGGCGCTGGGCTGTCTCCCCCCACTACCGCGTCCACGCAGAGCCATCCCGCAGTCACCGAGCGCATCTCTGCCCCGCCCCGGCGCAGTCGACGAGCCCCGGCGTCCCCAGGCGTCGGGAGAACCCCGCGCGCCCACGTGGCTGACTACGCCTGGGAGCCGGACTTCCCGAACCTTCCTGCTCCGCGACGCGAGGCGAACGCGCGCGGTGGCCGGCCTGGCTCCGAGCGGACCTGCAGTGCCACAGTGCGCAGCGGACGCATCAGGGCGCGTCCGACCGACGGTCCCACGCGCACCTGCGGTGCCTAGACCCACCTGGGCTGCGGGCTCGGGGTGGCGTCGGTACGCGGGGTCCAGCCTCACAGGGCGACCGCCGGCTCCCCGAGTACAAACAATTGGGCACAAACGCTGCCTGTTGTCACTCGGGCCAGGAGAGGCAGCGAACGCGCAGGGGCCGCACGACGGAGGCAGGCGGCGGGTGCCACACGTTTACGTGGCCAGGCCTGCGTGGCACCGGAGAGACCACGCCCGGGCGGTCACCCGGGACAGCGCCGAAGCTCCTCCCAGAGAGGCAGGGTGGCCTGAGCGAGGCCGCCGACGTCGGCTCGGTCCTTTTTCACGGGAAACCGCCGGTCGCCGTGACCTTCGACGGGAAGAGGAGCAGGGCCTGCCCCACTGCCCCTCGCTCGGCGCGCTCGGATTTACTCACAGGTCAAAGAAAAATGTCAAGGAGAGTGGCTGCCCAAAGAGCCTCGGCCCGCCTCCTGGGCCCCAGAGGAGAAAGGAAGGAGGGGAGGACAGAAGAGGGGACCGGTCCCCTGAGTCCTGCTCTTTCCCCGGCCCCCCGCTGCCTGGGCCCGAGCTGCCCCTGCGGCGCAGCGGCGACGGTGGTCTCCAAGCAGGAGGACACCCCCCAGCTGCCCCGGCCCACGGCAACGAGACCCTTCCTGCAGCCGGAGGGAGAGCGTAGGTGAGGCTGGGGACGGGCACCAGGTGGTGGTGGGCGCGAACGCAGAGGCCCGGCTTGGGGGGGGTCCCCACGGGGCTGGGGGAACGACCCGGCGTGGGACGGGGACCAGCTGGCGTCAGCGGAGCCTGACTTTGCGGTCGCTGGATCTTAGGGCCTGGCGGGAAACCGAATGGCCAGGGGCCCCCCAGATGAAACCGAAAAAGTGACTCTCCAGAGCTCCCCCCCCGCAAATGTCCTACCCAGCGCTGGGCAGGAGGGTCGATGAAGAGGGAAAACCGTTGGCGGCAAGTCTGGTCTAAAGAATCTCGGAAAAAACGAATATTTACAGAAATTCTAATTGTTTTTAAAAAATGAGAGTGAACGCCCCTTCTTGGCATAGTGATTGAATTTGAATAACTTTACAATTGCTTTAATTCCTTTCTTTTTGTGGAGTTAAAAAAAAAAATCTTAAAACCCCTGCTAACCACGAGCTCTAAGAGGAAGAAATGAGCCTGCTATGGGCTTACAAGTGAGTTTAAGGCACAGCCCGACCCGGTGCGGTTCTGTGGGCCTCAGCGCTCCCCGCGCTCGGCTCCCAGGGGCGAGCGGCTCAGGTGGGCGGCCGGGCGCTTGGGGGGCTGCCCAAAGACGACGCAGACTAATTGGAGGCATCTTATCAGTCTTGACTTGAAATTGAAAGAAAATGATGTTTAAATATTTATGACTTTGACATTTACAGTCAGACGTCTTTTAAAAAGCAGAACACCTCCTTCTGTAGAGGGGCAGCTCGGTTTACCCAAAGTTTGGAACGGGAGAAGGAGCCAGGAGGACCGTGGGGAGCAGCTGTCGGCGGGGGCCCCGGCGCAGGCTGCAGGGTGTGCGCGCAGCCCCCACGGAGAGGCGCAGAGCACCTCGGCACCAAGCTCTGGGAGGCAGGAACAGCATGACTTTTTAAAATAATCAGGAATAATTAAGTCAATTTTATATCAGGTTAGAGCTATCTTGAGAGTAAGTCCAAGTACAATATTGCATATTTCTCCCTCCCAGCCATCTGTACCTGCCACTCCTCAAATTTAGAATAGACGGTATTGCAAAAGCTGTGATTCGAAATAAATGTATGACCACAGAGACAATGTGTGGGACTGGCCTAGAAGTCAGGATATGCAGACATTGTCCTGACCGATTTAAGTTATTCTGATCTGTGCTTATGCGTGGCGGGGCACGGGGCTTGCATCCCAGGCTCTGCTGAGCCATTTGTGGTGATAAGCCTTCAGAACTTTTTTTAGCTATCCATGTGGTGCGCTTAAAAGAAGAGAAAAGAAAAAAGAACATTCTATACCCAAACTCAACGGTGAGAACTGATACAGCCATACAAATACAAAACTTTATGGCAAATATTTATTGACAGGTAGCAAAATTTAGTATTTTTCCAAGGTTGTGTGATGTAACCAGTTAACAAGAGCAGCTGACTCTCTAAGTCATTGATGTGCAAATTTCAAATATGCCTGTGGACATAAGCTTTCAGTTTCATTAATATTAAACTTCTAATATTGTTGATGTTTTCATTTGTATCATTTCTAAGGAATTTGATTTGCAACCCAGCCTCATCCCGGGTTTGTCTGAGTTTATGTGACCATAATTATAAAGACTTTTTCCCTGTAAAACTTAGAAATCAGTTTAGAGACCATTTATGAATTGCTATAACAAGTTTGTCTTTGGCTTGCTAGATGAATGCTCTTAGAATTATGTGGAAATTTCATTCTAAATTTACTGAAACATATTTACTGAATTATAGTAACTGTCATTTTAAAGCTAATCAAATTTTTTACGTTTTCAGGCCATGGCAAGTGACCAAACTTAAAAATGTGGGGGAGGGGTATCTTAAAATATTTTAGAAGTATTTTTTAAAGCTGTTAACTGAACTATTTTTAATTTGGAATTTGCCACAGAATTCTAATAAATGAGAGAAGTCAGGCGGAAATAATCATGTATTAATTCTCTGCATTAC